AAGGTGACCCCTACCGTTACCATGTGAAACACCCAGGTATTGCGAACTAGTGATTAAAATTATCCATCACTACTCATTCCTTGAAGACATAACCATCCAACCGCAGGGCTATGTCAACACCAATGGACAAAGGGACCCATCTCCAGTTTACTATGGAAAGCCTCCTGGACTGTCTGAAAAGCCCAGCCTGTCAGACCCTGAACTAGCCTGTGATGAAAAGTGTAACACTCCATGAGGAAAACAATTCTGTCTGATCAGTGAGGACACCCCTCTCCTCCCATGGAGCTAGTAATCCTTGTTCCAGTTGATTGTCCTGACATAGATAACATTCATCCGATTGTTGTCAAGCTAAGGCATGGACAGAACCTGTCCCCACAGAAGTTGCAACCCTTTAAGACTTTACTCAAGGGAATAATAAAAATCATAGTCACAACCCACTTCCCACCCCCCTGTGATCAGTAATGAAGTATTACTACTCTGTGAACATTGTAGTTCCCTTAGAAATAGTATGACTCACCCTATAGAGCAGCGGTTCTCAACCTGTGGGTCGCAACCCCTTTGGCGGTCGAACGACCCTTTCACAGGAGTCGCCTAAGACCATCCTGCATATCAGATATTTACATGACGATTCATAACAGTAGCAACATTACAGTTATGAAGTAGCAACGAAAATAATTTTATGGTTGGGTCACAACATGAGGAACTGTATTTAAAGGGCCAGAAGGTTGAGAACTACTGCTATAGAGTGTGTAGCCACCTAAACGGTGTATGACCACCCCAAACAGAGAATGTAACCCCATGATGGCATCACCCTTCCTCATCTCCCTGGCTTGAAGTGCTGAAGGACCCCAGGCCTGTCCCAGTCCTCTCCTCTCCTCACGTTCCATCTCCATGCTGCTTGCACCCAAATTTCTATCTCCACTCAGGACTCTCCCCAATTCCAATCTCACACATTGAAGTGCTTCACTGGCATCTCCATTTGGATTTCTCCAGTTTGCCAAGTCAAGATGGTTTTCCTGAGCTCCCCCAAACTGGCCCCTCCTACCCCCCCTACCCCGTCTTTACCATCTTAGGAAATTGCAACTCCATTTTGCTGGTTGCTCAAGTTGAATACCTTAGAGTCACCCATGACCCCTTTCCCTCATCTGTCATCCAATCTGAAGGGATGTCCCATCAGCTCTGACTTAAGCTACTTCCGAATTAGCTACTCTCCATTATCACCACCACACCTCTGGTCTGGGGTCTTCTCACTTGTCTCCCTCCTGCCACCACACCAGCCCCTACAGTCTGTGCTCTACCCACAGCCAGAGACATTCTATCAAATCAGATGATATCTCTTTGCTGCCCCAAACCCTCCAGTGGCCTTTTGCCCACTGGGAGTAAAAGGCAACTCCTCACCTCACCTTTCCCTTCATCTCCATCCTCTTGGCTATTTTTTTAAAATATATTTTTGTTGATTTCAGAGAGGAAGGAAAAGGGATAGAGAGACCGAAACATCAATGATGAGAGAGAATCATTGATTGACTGCCTCCTGCACGCCCCCAAGTGGGGACCGAGCCCACAACCCGGGCATGTGCCCTTGACCGGAATCAAACCTGGGACCCTTCAGTCTGCAGGCCGACACCCTATCCACTGAGCCAAATTAGTTAGGGCCTCTTAGCTATTTCTTGAATATGCCAGACATATTTCTGCCTCGGGGATTTTTGCCAATGTTGTTTCATCTGCCTGTGAAACTTTTCTCCCCAAAAGTTGGCATAGTTCTGTCCCTCATGTTCTTCAGGTTTTTACTCAAAAAGAACCTTACCAAGAAGATCTTACCTGACCTTCCTAGATCCCAAATCCCTTTTATATACTATTTTTCTTCAGAGCCCTTATCCTCATCTGACATATATTTCCACAATGTATTTGCTTATTGTATGAATCCTTCCTCTTTATTGTCAGCTCTGAGAGGGCAGGGGTTTTGTTGCCTGCAGTATCCTCCAAGTCCGGCACAGTGCTTGACAATCTATGAGAGAATAAACTCATCTTTGAACAGTGAACTCCCTATACCCAACGTAATACCAATAAATGTAGCCCCAGACGCATAAGACACTCTCGTGGACAATTGATGCCAGCACAACCCCCTAAAACATCTGAACCCTGATGTGAATCACATAAACAGGAAAAATCCTTAAAGGGTTTGCTTGTCTTACTGAATGTCAGCTCCACAAAGCAGGGGTTGGGTCTGTTTTCTTAGCTGCTTTATCGCTGGTGCCTAGATCCTGGTCTGGCATAGAACAGGCTGGTAAGACTTATGTGCCGGTGTGAACTGAGTAGACACACAGCTGGTATCACCCCACGATAAAAACCCATACAGACAGTACAGTGTCCACAACTGATATAAACCTCCATATACAGTGTGACTCTCACGTGAACAGTATAAATCCCATATAGACAGTGCTCATGTGTGACCGACAGAAAGACAGGGTGACCCTCATAAATGA